ACTCTTTATTTGGCTCTCCCTCCTCCTCACGCTCCCGATTGATGACTAATTGCGATGGGTTTTCTTTTTCCCTCCGTTTGAATTGGACGGACAGAAAGAAGATTTGCATGCCCTGAAAGGATGACACCCTTCATGCTGTTCACGCTCTTCCTCCTATTCACGCTCTTCTTCCTCCTCACGGTCTTCCAATCAATGCTCTCTTCCTCTTCCTCATGCTCTTCGTCCTACTCATTCCCTTCCTCCGCCTCACGCTGTGTGTGTGTGTGTGCGTTTAAATTGGATCAATACAGAGAAGATTAGTATGGCCCGTCCGCGGACTTGAATTGAGAAACCACAGCAAGCTTGTGTAAATGAACGGTGCGAATCTGCTCTTTCTCCTTATGCTCGCCCTCCTATTCACAGTATTCTTCCTCCTCAGTCTTTCAATCGATGTGATCTTCCTCTTTCTGACGCTCTTCGTCCTCCTCTTCCTCGTCCCGCTCTTCCTCCTCATGCCCTTCCTCCTAATTCTCTTCCACCTATTCCTCCTCACGTTCTTCGTCCTCGTCACGGTCTTTCGATCAATGTGCACTGCCGCTTCCTCATGCTCTTCGTCCTCCTCATGATGTTTCTCCCCCATCCCGTCCTCCTCTCTCTCTCTCTCTCTCTCTCTCTCTCTCTCTCTCTCTCTCTCTCTCTCTCTCTCTCTCTCTCGCCAGACACCTTCCCTCCCTCCCTCCACCCAACAGCTGCCCTCCCTCCTCCCTCCCTTTGCCCTCTCTCCGCCCGACTTCTCTCTGCCGCCTTTCCCCTTCCTGGCCTGCTCCAGACCTTCTCAACCTTCCTGAGCCCGACCACCTCCCTCCCCTTCCTTCCTTCGCCCAATCTCCGCCTGGCCCTCTTCTTCCCGGATCTCCTCCCTCCCCTTCCTTCCTCCTCCCGATCTCCACCTCCACCCGACCTCCTCCCTCCCTTAACCTCCTCCCTCTCCCAAGCTCCACCTGACCTCTCTCCATTCCTCCCTCCACCCGACCTCCTGCCTCCCTCCTTCCTCCCTCCAACCTGCCTCCCTTCTTTCGTAACGGCCAATCTAAGAAGTGCATTTCGTTGTCTTTTTTTCTTTTCCGGGTGGACGTAAGCGCTTCAAGATCTCCATAAGGGTGCACGCGACAGAGAGAGAGAACGACATTTCACATAACACTTCCTCCTCCACATGCTCCTCACGCACTTCCTTCCCCACACCTTCTCCTTGTCCGTCTCCTCCACCCAGCGTACGTCTCCCGCCTCCTCAAGCTCTTCCTAGCTCTTCCTCCTCGACGCTCTCCGCTCGCTCTTTGGGAGCGGGCTTTCATCGAACTGACCCGCGCAAGGTATTTCAAGTGATTGATATTTGTCTCCACAGTTCACGCTCTTCCTCCCCCATCCCTACACCCGCC